CGATGACCGGAACATTCAAGGGATACTGTCAGAGAAACCTCTGGTATAAGTTAAATAATCGTTTATTCGACGTGTTCGTTCGGGAGTCGACGTTTCACTGCCGAAAAATTCAGGCCTCGACCGTGGGCTCTTTTTTTTCTTTTTTTTTCTAGTGGAGGGGGAAATGCTTTGCGCACACCATAATAGATGGTAGTGTGGGACTCGCCGGGGATGAGTGCAATCCGATATACCCACTAAAACCGGAACCTCCCTTCAGCCAAGCATTACTTCACGAGGGGGGCGGCTGGAATTACGGTTTAATAAACCCACCTACTTCTTAAATTATGGTCCTCGTTGGGTTCTCACATAGATGATGGTTTTTTCCTCTGGAACTCGTTGAGGGCGGTCTCCTTCCTCTTGAGGCAGTCGTCGACAAACATTTTTAGGAGCGTTCTTTTGCGTGTGTCCTTGAGTATGGACAACACTAGGACAAACGAAAAGGTACTAATTCCATTCACCAAGGTGGTTCGCCCATTGTTGAAGGCTGGGCACGTCATCAGGGCATGCTCGATGGTGTCCTCGGCCCTCCTGCAGAGCAGGAATGTAGAGTCGTCTATTTTCCCGATGCGCTTAAGAAAGCTCGAGAAACACCCATGTCCTGTTAATACCTGAGTCAGGTGATAATCGAGCAGGGGAAAACCCCAAGAGATCCTCGGAATGAGTGAATGAGTCCAGCGTCCACTGAGAGCTGAGTCCCATCTTTTCTGCCACTCGTCTAGCGTCCTGCCGCGTTCCTCTTTCCTGGCTAGGTGTAGCCGACGCTTGTATTCAGGCGAGCTCTTATCCAGTTCTGCTGATCTTAAGTATATACGCCTCCTTCCAGCTGTCACCAAGTCGAAGGGGAGAGGGGCGAAAGGACGCACAGGGCGTCCAGCGCAGTGGTGCGGTACGCCTTAACCACGCGTGCCAGGATTGTCTTCTGATGCGTTGGGGAGTAGCGAGGTGTTTCTTATTGTTGCCCATTTTAGCCGCCGGAGCCCATATTGGAGCCGCGTACATAGCTACCGACTCCACTACGCGGTAGTATAGGGTCCGGGCCCAAAAACCGCCGCCTTCAATGTTAGGTAGTATCCTGCATAGCATACCGGCATACTTAACACGTTCCCTGCCGCGTGGGGCGTATACGCCCCACGCTGAACTTTCCGTTCAAGCCATTTGGTATTATTATTGTAAAATGAAGAATTTTTTAAAAATTCATTATGCAGTCAATTATGGACATCTTAATACTATTGCTGATGCCCTCATTTAATCGTGGGGCGTTGACACAATACTTACTGCTTCACTAAAGCTGGGATTGATTTATAGTTCAGTGTGTTTCTTCAGTATGTTAAACGAAGGAAATACGGTACGTACATATTATTTCAGTGTTATAAATTCGGATATTTTGCATTTAAAAATGTTTGCAATTTTTCCCGCCTTCTCTTCCTCAGACCTTTTCCAAATTTTACAATAATTACTCTTTATAAGCAGATATGGCATCATACAGCAACAGTTTTTCTAGTGATGATTCTGACGTGCCACTCGCAGAAATTCTAACAAAACGCCGTAGGATTGCACGAGGAATTCTTTCTGAAGATTCTTGAAACAGTTCAGAGGAAATCATAACTTTTCATCGCCTTTCCACACGCGGCACTCGCATTTTATCCAGTAGTGAAGACGAAGATGCTGAACCTTCAATAAACAATATAACTACTTCGCATATAGATTGGGCTGATCCCATCGGAAACCAACCGCGCCTTACGCCTTTCGTTGGTACACCGGGTTTCAAAATATTGAATCAAACTTACGAAAAACCGGAAGATATTTATTTTTTGTTCATGAGTGATGAATTCTTCGATCTTGTCGTTACAGAAACGAATCGGTATGCGCAACAATGTCTATCTAGACAAACATCATCTCGATTAAATGAATGGATAGCAACAGACAAAAACGAGATAAAACGTTTTTTTGGACTTATTATGTGGATGGGAATTGTAAAGCTTCCAGAAATAAGTTTGTATTGGTCTAAAGATCCAGCATATTCGCAGACTCTTCCACCTTCAATAATTTCAAGTAATCGGTTTGATTTTTTGCTACGAATGTTGCATTTTAACGACAATGACAAGGAAAATGTAAACGACCGTTTGCATAAAATTAAAACCGTCATTGATATGTTGAATGAAAATTTTGAAAAGTATTTTGAACCAGGCGAAATTGTTTGTGTAGACGAATCTCTGATTCCTTTTCGAGGTCGCATTGTCTTCAAACAATATATAAAACAAAAAAGACATAAGTACGGTATTAAAATATTCAAATTATGTACAGCACCGGGATACACGCTGGCCTTTAAAATTTATTGTGGGAAAAAACGGATATAGAGAAAACAACGCCTACCAATGTTGTTCTGTCATTGTGCAAAAGTATATTTGGTAAAGGTCATACAATATGTACCGATAATTGGTACACCAGTATCGAATTAGCCAAAAAGCTAGTTGCTCAAAACACTCATCTGGTTGGAACAATACGATCAAATCGCCGTGGAATTCCAAAAGACCTACTTTCAAAAAAATTAAAGCGATATGAATATATAGCTAAGGAAAGCAATGATGGTTTGACAATACTGAAATGGAAGGACAAGCGTGATGTTCTTCTATTATCAACGAAACACTCTAATGAAACTGTGGCTGTGCAGAAAAGGGGGAATATTGTTACAAAACCGAAGGTTATTGTGAATTATAATGAAGGGAAGTCTTCTGTAGATATCTCCGATCAAATGGCTTCATATTGCAGTCCTCTACGAAAATCAGTAAAGTGGTATAAAAAAATTGTATTTGAACTTTGCCTGAACACAGTTGTAGTGAATTCATGGATTATATATAACAGTCTTACCAACCGAAAAATAACAAGCATCGAATTCCGAAAAAAGTTAGCAATGAATCTCATGTCGTGTAATAATAATAATAATTCTCCACGAATTCGACAAAGAAGAAATCGACACGAAATTAAGAAAAAGGAAGGTCACTTTAATTCGATAAGAAGGCGCTGCAAAATTTGTTATGAAAGAAATGTTAAAAATTTAGGTTCCCAGTCGGCAAGAAACTGTACTGTAAAAGTTGTAACATTCTGCGATAGTTGTGTGGATAAACCACACTTATGTTTGCCATGTTTTAACAAAGTTCATCCTAACATCTCTTTGTAATCGCATACAAACTTGAATTTAACTAAAATGTTATATTTTAAACTGATATAGGCATGATAAAAAAAATTATATGTAAGGATGCAACTCGCTTGGCATAATAATGTTCAGCCAGGTATTTGTTAAACTAATTCCTAGAAAAATAAATTTATTGGTTTGTTGTGTTATGCATGTTAAACTATGCAACCTTTCCTTGATAATTATGATTTTTGCACTATTTTAATTATTGTAAGGCATACGCCAGAAACAAAATAATACAAATGTAAAGCGCGGGGCGCATACGCCCCACGCGGCTTGAACGGGAAGTCTTCAAAAAACGGTCTGGCAGGGAACGTGTTAATGACCTTTTCGCAGGTGTTAAGTATATGCGTCCGGAAGCATTGGCTGCCCTCGATGATGACACCAAGGTAGCGTGTTGCCATGCATGTCCTAAGGGAGTTGTTGCCAATCCTTATGTCAATGCATCGCTTTGCCTTTCTGCTCGTAAGATGGGGGACCTCGCACTTATCCTCAGCGAGTTCTAGTTGGTTCAGGTCGAACCAAGTCTTATCCAGTAAAATTAAATAGAGGAATTAATTCTTATCGTCACTGCCCTTTTCGGGTTCTTGAGGTAAAATTTCAAGTCCTCATTAAAAATTTCGGAGGCACTTCTGGAGACCAGAGACACCCTTGCGTCATGCGTCTTGCGTGTCCTTGGGGTCGGGTTAGTCACCGCCGTCAGTCTGTCAAGGTCAACTTCTTTAGGAGCTGTCAGTGGACCTTTACCGTCAGAGCTCGCTATGGATGAGCTTGAGTCGTTACTCACTTTCCCTCCGTTCCTTTGTTTCGGTGTTTTGCCCGAGTTAGTTGGATTCGCCACCTTCGGTTTATTTGCGCCATCCCTGGTGCCGTCTGCGGGTGGTTTTGTTTTAACCCCCTTGTCCTTGTTCCGCTTCTCGCGAGCTTCGTTAAGCGCCCTGCAGTATGCTAGGCAATTGCGACTCCCGTCTCTGTGACCCTGCATGCTACAATTTATGCATTTCTCCGCGTTGGTGCAGGTTTTTCCCGCGTGACCAAAGTCTCCGCACTTGCGGCAGCACTTCGATCTGTCCGCGGTTTTGCACGTAGTGTTGCGGTGTCCGTATACGCGGCACTTGTAGCACTGTATGACCTCGATCCGCTCTACCACGCGGCAGAGGTCCCATTCAACCCTAATGCGTTTCGCTTTTAGTAGCTTTTCCGCGTTATTAGCAGAGGTGATAACGGTGACGTTCTGGCTGTCCGCGAACCCTGGACGGAGGGCCTTTATTTGGATTTCCTGCGAATCCGTGTTCGACTCCAACATAGTGGAGAGCGTTTTTAGGATGTCTTCAGATGTGGCATCCCCATCCAAGCCTTCCTCCGCCACCAACACCAGGGGCGGCACGCCCGCCAAGACGCAAACGGCGTCGACGGACATGGTCCTGTACGCCCTGGCTACACGAGCCAGGATCGTACGTTGGACCGCGTTAATAGCCTTGTCGTTGCCACACCTCGAAGCCACGTGCGCCCAAGCAGGGGCCGCGTAGAAGACCACCGACTCGACCACCCTGTAATAGAGTAGCCGAGCCCAGTAGCCCCCGCCCCGGATATTGGGGAGGATTCTGGCTAGCAGGCCCGCGTATCTAGCTGCCTTTTTGCAGCTCCGCCTGACATGCACGCGGAAGCACTCATTCCCCTCGATCAGCAGCCCCAAGTAGCGCACGCACCCGCTGCCTCGAAGAGACGCCGAACCGAGGGCCAGTTGTAGGGCCTCGGGGGCCTTCCTGCCGGTCAGGTGCAGGACCTCGGTCTTCTCCTCCGCCAGCTCCAGGTGATTATTTCGAAACCACGCGTGGATGCGGGCGAGCGTTTGCTCGGCCAACGCAACCACGCGATCGGCGTTACGCGCGCCGACGAGAAGGGCGACGTCGTCCGCAAACCCCAAAACACTACAGTGCCTGGGTAGAGGCATCTCGAGGAAACCATCATATTGGGCCTTCCAGAGCCAGGGGCCGAGAACAGAGCCCTGAGGCACCCCGGCAAACACTGGAAAACGCTCAGGTCCAGTCGGGGTCGTCGCCTCCACCACGCGCCCGCTGAGATAACTACTCAGCACACGCAGCAGCGGAGCCGAGACCCCTTTTCCCGCCAAGGCGCCCAGAATACCGTCCCACCGTACGGTGTTAAAGGCGTTCCTGACGTCCAAGGCCACCATCACGCAATGCAAACCTGTACGCTTAGCAGCGTCCCATGTGCCGATAAGGCGACACATGGCATCTACCGTGCTTTTGCGCTTGACAAAGCCAAATTGGTTGCTTGCGAAGGCAACCCCGGACGCCAGACGCTCCTTGAGACAGTACTCGAACGCCTTGGAGAAGTTAGAGAGGAGGCAGAGGGGGCGCCACGACACCCCACTCCCGGGCCCAGGCTTCTTGGGGATCAGCACAAGCCGGCCCACCTTCCATGCCTCAGGGAAATATCCCAGGGTGAGGCATGTGTTAAAAAGGTGGGCGATATGGCTAAGTGCCTCTCTCCCAAGCGCCCAGACCGCGCAGGACGGGATACCGTCGACGCCGGCCGCTCTCCTCTTGACCTTGTTGATGGCCGCCTCGACCTCCCCCTCAGAAAATAGAAGGCCTGAAGAGGCAGGGCACTCGCACAAAACATCCTCCACTCGAGGGAAGGGAGCTCCGCTAAGGGGCTCCGTAATAAAAAGCTTGCGGACAACGCCCGCAACCTCGTCGGCGCCAAGGGATGCTGGCGGAGAGCGTCCCTTAATCCTGCCACTGCCCCACAGGTACGGCCGGCCCCAAACGTCCGCCTCGACGCTGTCAACGAACGTCCTCCACGCGAAGGTTTTGGCCCTCGCAATGGTACGGGCCAGGTCCTTCTTAAGGACCCTGTATGCCGCGATCCTAGTATTCAAAAAGTTGATGTCGTGGCCGCGTCTGGCCCTCTGCAATTGTCTCCGGGCTCTGCAAACGAGTTTCCTGGCCGTCGAGATCTCGCTATTCCACCACCACACAGGGCGCTTATCGCGCAGCCGGGGGTGGAGGAGGCGAAATGCCCGGCCGGCCAGGTCGACAACCATGTCTATGTACGCGTCCACGTCCTCAACAGTTGAGATACTGAGAGGGTTAGCTTCCTGCGCATATTTGATGTAAAGGTCTAAAAAACGCTTTATATTTACACTCCGGCGCGGTGGACCACAATACGATCCTCGCCCGGCAGTGCACTCAATAAACCTATGAAGGATATACCGGTGATCGGAGGCAGTCTTAACGTCGAGAATACTGCTCTCCTTCAACCTAGCATAGGCACCCCCGCCGCACACCATAAAATCTATGAGGGAGCGCTGGCTTCCCCGCTCAAAGGTGAAAGCCCCGGCACTCCTGACCGGGACGAGGCCTACCCTGTTAATAAACTCGAGGATGGCGTGCCCCCTTGCATCGGAGCAGACCGATCCCCAGGCCGGGGACTTCGCATTGAAGTCCCCGCCCATCGCAATCTGGCCCAGCGGAACTTGTCCAATTAGGGCCTCCAGATCATAGAGAAGGGCGCTGAATTCGGCGAGCGAGATGCTCGGGGAGTAGCAGCAGCCAACGAAGGTGAGATCACCCACGCTGACCGCCACTGCCCCCCGCACAGCACCGACGGGCTTGACACCCGCTCCCGCAGCGGCCCTCCCCGTGACCCAGATGGCCGCCTTTCCGGATTCGTCCCTGTGCCAGTCACCTAGAACGGTCCAGGGCTCCGACACGAGGACAACGTCCACCTCGAGCTCCCGCACGGCCTGCTGAAGTAGGTCGTGGGCGAGGCGACATCTATGCAGATTGATTTGGAGTACGTTGAGACCCCCCATCCGGACTCCCTGAAAATTAGCCGTGTTGGCCATTACGGTTCGAACGGTGACCGCCCTGATGATTCCATCAGCTCCTGGATGGACCTGTTGGACTCGTCCCAGGTGCCAGCATAAGGGAGGAGTGTTATCCTCCTTCAGTACAACGATGGTCCCTTCTCGAATACAATGAGACCCCCTTGTCCACTTGTGTCGAATGGTTAATTGGTTTATGTATTCCTTTTGCCACCTCGTCCAAAAATGCTGCTTCACCTTTTGGATGTGCTGCCAATTCGACAGCCTGTTGTTCGGGATTGCCCTCAAATCGGTCTCGGTAATGGCCGTTAAAGAGCTACCAATCAAGAAGTGACCAGGAGTCAAGGGCGATGTATCGTTTGGATCGGAAGAGAGGGGAGTGAGCGGGCACGAGTTTAGAATGGCTTCGACTTCGATTACAATAGTATTGAATTGTTCGAATGTGAATAATTCTTCACCGACGACTCGTTTGATGTAATGCTTGAATGCCTTTACAGCCGCCTCCCACAATCCCCCGAAATGCGGAGACAGAGCCGGCGTGAAATGCCACGTGATTCCCTTCGTGGTGAGGAAGTTTTGCAACCTTTCGTCCCTTGGGAGTGTCCTGCAAGTTTCCCTTAGTTCGTTGTCGGCCCCGAAAAAGTTGGTCCCATTATCCGAATACATGTTTTGGCTGGCCTCCCTGCGTGCGATGAACCGTTTGAGGGCCGCCATGAAGGCATCCGTCGTCAAGTCGCCTGCTACTTGAAGGTGTACGGCCTTTGTCGCGAAACAGGTAAATACGGCAACGTATACCTTTATACGGGTTCGGTTTCGGTGCCGTCGCTCCTTTATGTAAAAGGGGCCGCAATAATCGACACCGGAGTTCTGAAATGGTCGACTCTCGGTGACGCGTGCCGCAGGTAAATTTCCCATCAGGTAGTCGACCGTTGGGGGGTTAACTCGAAAGCACCTTACGCATTGCCGTACAATTTTTCTAGTCGCATTTCTTCCATCGATGGGCCAATATGTTTGGCGCACGTCATGCAAGGTTGCGGTGATGCCTGAATTTTTCGTGTGAGCGTCGTGGATGATCAAATCAGTCACGTGGTGACTCTTTGGTAATAAAATTGGGTGCTTCTGGGCGAATGTTAATGCGGAATTTTGGAGGCGACCCCCCACGCGCAAGATACCTTCGTTGTCGAGGAACGGGTGCAGAGGTCGAAGTTTGCTTCTAGGGTGTAATTCTCCGAATTTTAGGTTTTTGATATCTTGTGTAAATGTAACTGACTGAACGGACCTGATGATGCGGATGTTGGCTTCTTGTAGCTCTTTGATGGTCAAGGGGCCTGTGTTACGACGGGCAGGCACCAGACGTAGACAATATGCTACAATTCGCCGTAGTTTTTGGATGCAGGAGTATCGCGTAAATATCTCGTTGGGTTGATTG